TATTATTAGTTCGAGTAAGCCGCTATGGTGAAATCGGTAGACACGCTGCTCTTAGGAAGCAGTGCTAGAGCATCTCGGTTCGAGTCCGAGTAGCGGCATGACATATTCTAAAAGATATCCAATAGATCCTATAATAAAAATAAATTAAATTCCCGATTTCTAATTCTTAATTAATATTAATTTAGGGGATTCCCTCCCTTTTTTTTTTTTTTTTTCATTTTTATGATATTTTCAACTTTAGAGCATATATTCACTCATATTTCCTTTTCGATTGTTTCAATTGTAATTATAATTCATTTGATAACCTTATTGGGCAATGAAATCATAAAACCATATGATTCGTCAGAAAAGGGGATGATAGTTACTTTTTATGTCTAACAGGATTATTAATCACTCGTTGGATTTATTCGGGCCATTTCCCACTAAGTGATTTATATGAATCATTAATTTTTCTTTCATGGAGTTTCTCCCTTATTCATATAGTCCCTTATTTCAAAATAAGAAAAAATTATTTAACCGAAATAACTGCCTCAAGTACTATTTTTACCCAGGGCTTTGCTACTTCGGGTCTTTTAACTGAAATACGTAAACAGATATTTCATTAAGAAAGAGACGATTCGCCGAGGAACTCTAACTAGATCTAGCGAGTGTCTCCGTCAGATACACTCTTCGTGGTTAAACAATAGAATTGAGAAAATATCGTTATAATGAATGAGGAGCGTCGTCAATTGGTCAATTCATTTTTTTGAGAGTTTGCTGCTTCAGAGAATCGAGATTGAGTTGGTGTTAAGTAAGGTACAAGATTGAAAAGAATGCTTTTGCATTCCAAGTGCAGAATCCCGTACATTTCTTGGTTAACAGCCAAGCTACCCTCATTAAGTAAGACTGTTGGTCTTGCTAAAGAGAAGCTTAAGCTACCTAAACAAAGATAGGGGAGCGCGGCACGACTATTTTATTATTTTCGGATGCAACCGGAACAAGATTTTTTGATTCTCTACGGGCAACCAAGCCCGAGTGAGCTTTCTTTTATGCTATCCCAAGAGACTGATATGGACTTCTTGGGATCCGCAGATTCTTCATTAGATAGTCTATCAAGTACTGAGTCAGAGGCGCAAAGCGCTCCACCATTTCCGGAAATCCTGGAAAGCATAAGTCATACATTAAACCAATTACTAAATGAAACCGGCCTCATATGAGAATGGAAAATTGGAGCATTTTCTGCATCGGTGGATGAAGAATCGCGAACATAAGAATTTCTGGTTGACCATGTTCCCAGAAAAAAGATACTTTCAAGAAACGACGAACACGACTGAAGTGGCTATACATACAAATCCATTTACGGATCTATATGCTCCGATTGGAACTTCCAGTTCCAGAACAGGTGGCTGGTATACTACCATAATGAAACTGCCTTTTATTTTTTTTATTCGGATCGGATTTATGTTGGCTTCGTTGGGAGGATCGCGTAGTTTGTTACGTCAGCTCAAAAAGGATAAGTTGCCTTGGAATCGAGAAAGTTACGTGGAGTTCATAATTGCATAAAAGGAGTCAAAGTAAAGTAGTGGCTGCGGCGCGTTGAGGCACTTCTTCGACGGTTCCCGTACGCCCGGCCTGCCGGCCCGCTCTGAAGAATTCATGGGTCGGCAGGCGGGCGAGACAGAATGGGCGGGCACTACTAACCAAGCCAAGCCCAGTTCCCGCCGATAGGCGCAGGTAGCTTGCTTCCAAGCCTTGCCTTATATGATAGTTGTGGCCATGGCCCGAAGGAGCCTTAAGCACTTGTACAATGCTTCAAGTCAAGGCTCCCCCCCACTCGTTGCCCAGAGCCTTTACAGGAAGACACCCGGGACCAGATAATGGTTGAGAGGCGATACTAGTTTTTATAAGGTTCCAAATCAATCAAGTTATGTGTATATGACCACGAGTGGCGTGAAAAGGCAGGCGGTGGACTCTTTTATTAGGGAAGGGAAGAAGGGGCCTAAGCACGGCAGATGCCGTACACTTGAGTGGAAAAGGAATTCGACGATTTAGCCCATCGACTACATCTATCGCTGAACCAACTTCCGAATCATCTACCGAATCGCATAATCAACCGGATCCACCTAAACCTAATAAATTTCCTCTAGACAGAATGAGGCTCTCGTTGAGAGATCCATTAGTGATTGGCCCACCCCTCCTGGCAAAGAAAGAAAGGCAGGTTCAGGCGATTGATCAAAAAAAGATTTCCTTCCCTTTCTTTATGACAGTGCAATTGAATGCAGCGGTGCAGGGCCTCTAAGATTATGAATAAGCTATTCATTTTCCGTCCTATTGAATAAATTCGGCATGATGGTAGTAGAGTAGTCGATCTGATCTCGCGCGCGGGCGGATAGAAATGCCTATAGATGAGGTAGGCGAGGCTAGCTTGCCGGCAAAAGGCGATTGTCTTTTGTTTGATGAGAACGAGAAGGGCAATTGACTGCAGGCCTCTTGGGTGGGGGCAACTGGAGGAAGACAGCACGGGGCAAAGCAAAGGGCAGAGCTTCGAGTGACTTTTTTCTTTGCTCTTCGACAGCCCGTCACTCGAAGCTCCTCTGTCGCGCCCTAGCCGAGCGGTCATCGCCTGCACAAGCAAGCAGATTAGCTCCATCATTCCATTATTGTGCCGGCAGGCCTGGGCGAGCGAGGTAGGCTTAGATTAGAGGGAGGGGGACTGCGAACGTCCCATGAAGGGGGAACCATGCATTCCTCTCGGGCTGGGCTCTCGCGTGTCCGGGGTCCGATCAGATCAACCAGCGACCGGTTTACGGAACAAGGAGTTAAGCAAGGGCCAGGAGATTGATGAAAGAAACTGGCCGAAGTCAGTGTTGTGTTCAACTCCGCGGTTGGAAGGATTGCTTTCTGCCGTCTGTCTTTTCCTTCTCTCTCTTCTCTTAGCAAAGTAGGCTCAAGTCAAACTTTTGGCTTGCTACAAGCTGGGCTCAGGGACTGCAGTCAGCCGCTTCCCCTGTAGTCGTCAGCTCGTTTTTGACAGATCCGATCGGGTGTTCATAATCTGGAGTAAAAGGATTCGAACCTTTGCATGCCGGTACCAAAAACCGATGCCTTACCACTTGGCTATACTCCATACGGCCTGTTTTGGACGGTAGAACGGGGAGAGGGGAAGGGGGAAGCAGGGCTCGAAGAACGAGCCGAGCCGTGCAAGGACGCGGGGATATAGCAAGTAAGCAGAAAGGTTCTTTAGGACCGACTACAACAAGCTCACGACTCTAATAGAAAGAAAGGGTAAGCTCTCTGCTCTATTTGCTTGCAATGCTATGCCTATCAAAGTAGGCGAACGCTTCTGTAACCTTAGACTCGTTACGCTGTTCGACTGAACTCGTTGGCTCCACGTCCACCGAAAGTAGGTAACCTTCGTCACCGTTGGTTCCCGTAACCAAACCTTTCTTATCTTTTTTTTATTATGTCTTTCTTTCTGAAGGGCTTGCGATTCATTACACCAAAGGCTTTCAGTGAACTATTGAAGCTATCGAGAGAGTACCAAATGCTGACGGTAACGAAGGGGCCGTATCCACAAAATGGAAGGTTTTCGTAGTCCCCAGGGAAGATGGCTTTAGCTGGGTCTTGCAGACGGGAAGACTTCCTTATTCATTATAAATATCCCACGTCTTGCTTTACGCGATTGCTTGCTATTCGGTAGACGAATTGTTACCTACGCTTTTCTTTGTCTTACGACTTGACTGTGTTTAGCAACTCATCTCATTAATAAGCATTTTGTGAAACTAAATAGACTTCTGAACCGGAAGACTAAGCGAATTCTCCTTACTATTGTTTGACTACAGCCACTTCTACACCTTCATTTAGCAAATCCGATCTTTATTCGTTCTTCTTCTATTTCATTATTAGAATTTAATTATTTCATGATGCTTCAATCCATTTTTTATATAAAGTAACTACGACCAGCTACTGCTACCCCAATCTACGATACCTTCTCATCTCCTTCGATTGGTTCCGTGTGGGGCATCCTGCTGAGAGACATTAGCTAATATAGCCTGCCCCTTTTTGCGTAATACCTCTTTCTTGGTATGTGGTCTCCTGCCATTTTTCTAGCACAGTAGTTGCATAAGCAGTCATGTTCAGGGGACGGAGTTCAAGGCGAGTAGTCTCTGGAAGTAGGTTCATCCCCCCCTCTTGGTTGGCGATGGCCAGGTCTTTTGGTATAAATGACTTGCGATAGTGAGTAATGAAATCAATGAAGTCTGCTTGAAGGGGCGTGAAAAGGCTGTGGAGACTAGAAGAGTGCCCTGCCGCACCTACTAAGCCATTAAGTCTGCTTGAAGGGGCTGCTTTGGCAGTCGAGTTTTTTCTTACATCCAGTGCTACATCTAGAGGTCCAGTCCCCTAGGTCATTTGATATCTCTAGTCTGAGTTCCGTTCAACAAGCCAGTTCTGTTAGATCGCTTACAGTCCCCGTAGTGTCCAGTAGCTGTCTCTTTTTCTTACCTTAACCTTAGGCAAGCGAAAGACAGAGGCTTGAAATCAAAGTTAAGATATCTCCATCCGGTGGGAGTTGCTATCCATATAGTTCCATGGCAGTTCTACTTGCAGCCATTGATAGTTCTCTTGCATCCGCTTTCAATCCAGCAGAGTAAGGGGCAAAAGGATCTGACGCAAGTTGGAGGATCGACAGAAAGCTAGGGTTTTTCTTCTCCCTTATTATCCTTTTCTAAGGAACTAAGGAGTTAACGATATCTCGCTTAAGGAGATATCTAGCCAAGCGATTCACCTGATCCAGACACGCCAATAGGCGGGTTTGAAGATAGTAAGTAAGAGTAGTGGCATTCTCATCAAAAGGATAAGTAAGTTCGCAATCCAGTGATAAAGTGAAAAAAGGTGATTTTTTCTGCGCATATTCCCTGGTGAGGATATGCATAGCGAATGAAATTCCTTCCATTTTACAATCCCAAGAGGAACGCTAATTTCATAATCATAACGAGCGTGTGGCATTTTTATAAACTGTT